CATCAATGGACATTTGGGTTGCTTTTACCACTTGCCTATCTTGAACATTGAACATTCTTGACTGCAATGAACATAGGTGTACAAATATCTCTTTGAGATCTTGCTTTCAATTCTTTTGGATATATTTCCACCCGTGGGATTGCTGATTTATATAGTAATTCTGTTTTTAATTTTTTGAGGAACCTCCATACTGTTTTCCATAGTGGATGCCAATTTACATTCCCACCAACAGTATACAAGAGTTTTTTTTCTCCACATCCTTTCCAACACTTGTTATTTTCTTTGCTTCTTTTTTTGGTACTGGCCATCCTAATGGGTATGAAGTGATATCTCATTGAGGTTTCGATTTGCACTTCTCTAATAATTAGTGCTATTGAGAATCTTTTCATATGCTTGTTGGCCTCTGGATATCTTTCTTGGAGAGGTATCTCTTCAATTGCTTTGCCCATTTTTTAATTAGGTTATTTGTTTTTTGTTGTTGTTGAATTGTAGGAGTTCCTTATATATTTTGGATATTAATCCCTTATCAGATATGATTTGCAAATATTTTCTCTTATTCTATACCTTGTGTCCTTTAATGAAGAGAGTGTTTTAGTTTGATGCAGTAGCATTTGACTATTTTTGCTTTTGTCGCCTGTGCTTTTGGTGTCATATCCAAGAAATCAATGCCAAATACAATGTCATTAACTTTCCCCATTTGTTTTCTTCTACAAGTTTTAGGTCTTATGTTTAGGTCTTTAATCTATTTTGAGTTAACTTTTGCTTATAGTGTAATGTAAGCATCCAACTTCATTGTTTTGCATGAGGATAGCCAGTTTTCCTAACACTATTTGTGGAGGATACTGTCCTTTCCCCATTGAATGTCTTGACACTCTTGTCAAAAATCATTAGATCAAATAAAAGTTTATTTCTGGATATATTGTTCAATTGTTTTCATGGGAGAATAACGACCTGAGGCTTCCTATTTCTCCATCTTGCTAATGTCACCTCCCCCCAATCTGGAATAGTGTCTAGGACACTATTGTGTCCACGTGGAGGGGACGTGGCCTAAGTGTTGCTGGAGGTGGGAGATATTCCACCCATTCCCTGATTTTCTCACTGATTCAAGTCACTTCATAATCCTGCCTGTTCCTTCAAGATTATTTTTTTGTGTTTGTCTTCAAGTGTTCTTCAGTCATTTGATTATGATGTTTAGAGATGTGAATTTCAATGTGCTGAGTCTATTAGTATTTTCTGGGCTCCTTAGGTCTATAAATATTTTTAAAATCAAAATTAAGAAGTTGTTCATTCATAGTGTCTTAAAATTGTTTTCCTGTCCCTTCCTGTCTCTCTTATTCTCAGACTATATTTACACCTTTGTTGATTTTCTTGATACTGTTTCAAAGGTCCTGAACTGTGTTAATTTTTCTCTCTCATCCTCTGGGATAAATAATTTGTATTATTCCATCCTCAATTTCATCAATTCTTTCCTCTGCATCTCAAATTTTATGTAGAATCAATCTGGTGAATTTTTCATTTCACACAATATATTTTTGGACTCAGAATTCCTATTGAGTTCTTTTATATAATTTTTATTTCTCTATTGAAATTTTCTGCTTGTTTTGTCACTGCCATCATATTTTCATTTAATTACTCAAACATAGTTTACTTTACAAATTACATATATTTATAATAATTACTTTAAAACATTTTTCTAATACATCCAACATTTAATCTCAGTAAAAGTTTCTATTGTCTGTTTTTTTTTTCCCCTGAGTATGGAAGATATTTTCCAATTTCCTTGCAGGTTTTCTATTTTTTTAAATAGATACATTTTATAATATAGTTTAGTCAATGTGGATTCTATTTCATGTTTCTTAGATTTATTATTTTTTTGTAACATGCATAAACTTTTCTGCAGAATCTTCTCCTCGGAAGTGTACCTCTGATATTTCTGCTCAGTTTTTTTTCAAATTCATATTGTTTGTTTTTATTTTCTAGCCTGACTTCCTAAGGATTACCCTTGTGATTACATAGCTTAGTTGTCAATCAGTAATTTTTTTAAAAGGCTGTATTCAAATACTACAGATCAGTAGGGCTTCTACCCTCTGCCACTTGTATGTGTGCGTGTGTGTGTTTTGGGGAGTGCTTATAACTTCGCACTCAGTTCTCATGTCTTCTTTGGCGTCTACTTTTTACTGGGATCATCTTGGTCTCCTCCACACATCTGGACATTTTTTCTATCATCCAAGACTGTGTAGAGCTAATGTCATATCTTCTATTGTACTCTCATTTTATTACCTTCATATTTATTTATGGTTGGCACTGTGCTTGACACAAAGAATATCACAACCTACAACAAGAAAAAGTATGATTCTAAGAATTTATCCATTTCTTCCAGTTTGTCAAATTGGTTGGCATATAGCTTTTCATAGCATTCTCTTATAACCTTTTGTATTTCTGAGTTGTCTCTTGTATTTTCTCCTCTTTCATTTCTGATTTTACTTATTTATGCCTTCTCTCTTTTTTTCTTGGTGAGTCTAGCTAAAGGTTGGTCAATTTGTTGATCTTTTCAAAGAACCAGATCTTGGTTCTATTAATTTTTTCTATTGTTTTTTTGGTCTCTATTTCATTTATTTCTGCTCTGATTTTTATTATTTCCCTTCTTCTACTGATATTGGGCTTTGTTTGTTCTTCTTTTTCCAATTCCTTTAGGTGCATTGTTAGAGGGAGAAGGTCAAATACCGTATGATTTCCTTCATTAAGTAGTAGATAACAACAACAATAAACCAACACATAGAGACAGAGATTGGATTCGTGGTTACCAGAGGGGAAGGCGGGAGGGGGGAGGGCAAAAGGGATAATTCGGCACATGTGTGTGGTGATGGGTTGTAATTAGTATTTGGGTGGTGAACATGATGTAATCTATGCAGAAATAGAAGTATAATGATGTACACCTGAAATTTATACAATGTTATTAAACCAATGTTACTGCAATAAATAAACAATTAAAAAAAATAAAAGAAAAAAAAAAGAAAAAAACGTATGGGTTTTCCTCATTAGTTATCTAGCAAATTCAGCACTTTGAACTGAAAAAGTAGTGGGCTATTTCATGACCCATTCCCCTCTGCTAATCAAGTCTGCCCCTTTGGCAATTAGTGTTGATTTTTGCAGGCTTCCCCAAATTGTAAAAACTACAATTTTTCTTGCTCACTGAGCTGGAGTGGGGATGAGGGTAGACATTGGAGTAGTCCTAGGTGAGAAAACTATAAATTTGCTCTATTTTACTTGAATCTCTAGGAGTTTTTCCACTTCACAAATTATTGTTAGTCTTTGATTAATTCTCAGAGCCTAGAAATTGCATCTTTGTCGGTTTGGCCACTTCACTTAGTCATACTAATATATTTACCTAATGTTCCAGTGCGTAACATTATATTCTAAATTGAAAGACACTATGAAGTAAAAAGAATTAATTTTATTTGTTATTATAAAATTCAAATAAGTACCAAACTTTATTTGACTTCTAGGGGCTGGCACTGTGGCCCAGTGATTAAGTTTGGTGGCCTGGATTCAGTTCCCGGCTGTGGGCCTACACCACTCGTCAATAGTCATGCTGTTGTGGCAACCCAAATACCAAATTGAGGAACATTGGCACAGATGTTAGCTCAGGGTGCATCTTCCTCAAGCAAAAAGAGAAAGATTGGCAACAGATGCTAGCTCAGGGCAAATTTTCTCCAACAAAAATAATAATAATAAAAATTTATTTCACTTCTAATAAAATATCTTTTCCATAGAATTTTTTGAACTCCTTCAGTGTTTTTTCATGGATTAGACTCTTCCACAGAAACAATAATACTTCATGGGTGTGGCCAAATAACTCAACTTTCTCTTCCAAACTGTAAGTTTCTTGAGAGCTCTTCTATTTTATGCCTTGAAGAAATTAATCTTAGAAAGAAAAAAAAGCAATATATGAACAATTAGGCAAACATAGTTATTTAAATGTTTCCATAGAAAAAATATATGGGTACTATTCAGATTTAGATATATAACTCCTAGTCTAAATATAGTATTTATTTATCAAAATATTATTATATATTACTAAAATAAATGATATATTATCTATGTATTTCAGATTCTCAATATCTTCAGAGGGGGATAAGAAATGTGCATTCTTGGATTTTCCTGAAAACAGACTGTCTTCTGCATCCTGTTTAGATATAAAAATATACGTTTGTAAGCACCAGGCACTTTACCTTAACTAAATTTGGTATAATGCTACTCTCACCGTCTATAATAAACATATTTGTCATTTCTTCAAAAGCCATACAACTATTTTCCTAGAGCTAAATTTTAAGATACTATTTTTTAGAGTAGTTTTATGGTCAAAGCAAAATTAAGAGGAAGGTACAGAAATATCCCATATGCCCCTTGTGCATAGCCTCCCCTCACACATGCATAGCCTCCCCTGTTATCAACATCACTCACCAGAATGGACATTTGTTACCAAGGATGACTCCACATTGATGTATCATAATCACCTAAAGTCCATAGTTTGTCTAAGGCTTCACCTTTTGTGTTGTAGAATTATTTTTAAATCTTTGTGTCTATTAATTTTCAAAATATATACCCAGGTACATATTATATATTTTTTAAACTTTTGTTATTTATTAAAACAATTGATGTACAAATCTCAAAACATAATATCAAGAACTGTTATTTCTAAGCCTTGATAAGCTGAATAATTCCACTCATATTTTCAAATTAATTCATTTGTCCTAGCCCTTGAAGGTGTTGAAAATGCGTATTCAACAACCCAAAGTGGTAAAGTGCATAAATCAGAGTCGAGCCAGGAGACAGAAACCAGGAGAAGTTTGATGTAAAGAATTATTAACTATTTGTAGGGGATAGCCTAGAAAGAGGGAGTAAAAGAAAATTACATAGACTGCCTTAGGGTTAAAGGAGAGTATCCAAAGGAGGAAGCACTTTGCAGCCAGGTCTACTCCCAGAGGTTGGGTTTCAGACATCACTGAAGACAGTGTGGCTGCAGACAGCTTCATGGCAGTCGTGTTCACTGGATGGCCCTGGGACAGAGCGGTTCCTCAGTCAGTGGGTGAGGATGGATCTCAGGCTGTGACTGGGAAGCAGGAAGACCTCCCTACCAGAGTGTCAGCAAGCCGAGGCTGGAGGACAAGGAACTATGACTGGGACTGGACACAAAACTTGCTGGAGAGGGAATACCACAGGACTTCCTGCACTCATGCAGCTGGAAACAGCACCATAGTAGCCAAAGGAGAGAAAACACCATGAAACCAGGAAGAAGAGCCCCTTTTCCTGCACTGTCTCTCCAGTGCCTTTTACTGACAAAACAGCATGTGAGCCTACAAGGAAGAAAAGTTTACAAGATCTAGCTCCATTATCTCAGAACCGGGCAATGAGTGTTAGATTTGGAGCTGAGAGTAATAAATTGCTTATTGGCACTCAAGGTTACTATGCAAAACAACAAGATTGTTGTATAAGAACCATTTGAATCTGCCCTACTTCCTCCGAGAATGGAACCTATTTGCATGTTCTGAATCTGTTTTTGTCTAGCATTATCAATGATTAGATTTATTTTTGGTGGAGGTTGGCATTTTCGTTTGGTAATAATTGGTGTCCGCTGATATTTTTTACATGTCTGTTTTTTACCTCCACTGGATATGAGATATTTTGGAAGGTATCTTGTTTTACTAAATTTTCTATCTCTCCCCTTCTGTGACTGCTTATTAGCATGGTTAGAAAATACTTTCACGGAAAAAATAAAATGTTAATGAAGAAAACAAGAATAAGTGGATAAAAATATTTGTGTGGGTCAAACTGCTAGTTATTGACAGAATTTGAAATACACTTTAGTAACTTGACAATGATTCAGAGATATTTCTACCTAATTCAATTACAAGAGGGAGAAAGCTTACACTTGATTACTATTTAAAAAATAAATTAATATTTCATACACATTTATCTCTTTTAATATATATATATTCTTTATACTCTCTATATTTATTCCTTGTATTCATGTAGAGGAAATATATGACTATTCAAAATTAATGTCATATAATATGTTAATGGTAGGTGTAACTAATTGCTAAAGTTGTGTTAAAAACCCAAGACAGCACCGACATTTAAAAATAAGAATTTATTTCTCATTAAGCCATTTGTGGTTTGGCTGGGTTTCAGTTGAGGTAGCCTGGGCATAAATGGCTTTGCCTTTAGACCACAGATTCAGGTCATATCTTTTTTTATATATTTTATTCTCAGAACAATGGGCTACTTGGTACATGACCTTCTATAGCAGAGATTAGCAGCTCTCAGAGGAGCAAGCAGAAATGTGCTGCTTAATTCCTGGGCTCAGAACTCATGGCTGTCACTTCCCATTTACATGGTATTGTCAAAAGAAGTCACATGGCCAAACTTATTAATTTTCTGCAAAGTATATGCTTTCGCATAGTGGTCAGAAAGAGGAAATGTAGATTCACTGATAAATAAGCTAATCCACCATCATAGCCATAGCAATATTTTTCTCATTATGTTTCATGAGATAGGTAAGTTTATTCTTAAAAGAAAAATATTGGAAAACAGAAAAAAAGATAACACTTTTTTGACTTCCCAGCTAGGTTTTTGTTTCCTCTGTGCCAAAAATTCTGGTGAAGTGGTTTTGTATAGTGGTAAAGATCATCATATAGATCTTTCACCAAGATCCTCGATCCATATACAAATAAGAAGTAAGCAGTGTGGCGTCAAGTTTAAGGACATGGAAATTAAACCAGGTCATTTGAGTATAAACTGTACATGCACCCTATTAGCCCTGTGACTTAGTTTTATAAATGTGCTGGCTCCATTTCTTCTCTTGTGAACTATGAGAGAATGGATCTTATTCATAGCGTTACTTGAAGAATATTTGAAAAGCACTTGAAAAACATCTCCTGGCACATAAGTATTCACTAAATATCTGTTATTTTTATTTAATAACTTTATGCTTCAGTTCTATCACTTGTGACATGATTACTATAATTGTAGCACTTAATCGGTCTGCTCTTAGGAATAAATAACATAATGCTTAAAGATCCCTAAAATAAAGGCTAACTATATGAAGTGTTTTCTATGTGTGATCTTCTTTACATTTTACTTCCCTAAATATTTAATGAAGTCTGATTTCCAAGAGGACCCAAGCTCCAAAACTTTGTCTTCCTTTGTTCACTTATCAAATCTTTATTGTTTCAATGAGCTAGTTTTAGCCAGGCATAAAAATTATGTCTGATTTAACCAATTAAATCATATATATCAAAGATATTTTCATTTTAAAGTAGGCTTTTAACAAATGCAATACATGTCATATGTGGACAATAACAAAACTAGTTTTTTACTGGACGTGCATTCCCATTATTGAAATCAAGTTGCAATTACAGTTCTTTTTCTTATTGGTTAAGAACTCCAACCTCCTGCCCAATGTGGTTTTTTATACGAATGTAAAGGCTATCTTTCTTGGAATTGAAGAAATTTTCAAAGAAATTGTTAAGTTTTGGTGAGATAACCTTTAATGGTTCCTAGATTTGAGACCAGATGAAAGTTTTACAGGTACAAAAAAGGTGCCTAAGGTTTCACATGTGTACGTAATAAGGCATGGGAATTACTTGGTACAGTGAGCTTAGGTCATAGCCCCAAAACGACTTGATATATATATATGGAACAACATTAGGGGGATGCTAAACAAGGGTAAATTTAGAATAGAAATTCATAAAGAAGTTAGATCACAATGGTAGTGTTATTTGCGTCTAACTTTCTGAGAATGTACCACCTTCGGTGTGGAAAATACTGGGCTTCTTATTCTGAACTCCAGAATTAAACAGTATCATTTCAGTACTAATATCAAAGAAAGATGGTGCCCCTTTAAAATTTACTATATATTGGAGCAGAGCAGAATGTGTGTTCTTTGCAGGCAGCCAGTTCCAAAGAGAATGCAGGAAGGATTGATTTGTGTATGTCCAATCTTGTGTTCCAAATTTACTAATCTGAAAATTCTATTTTCTAGTGATTAATGAATGTAAAGTTATGGATAAACATTATCATTTAATGTGTCCTTCTGCTCTAAATTTATGAGTCTCCTCCCTTAATTACAACCACTTTTTTTTTTGCCTTCTCCTAAGACAACATGTAAAAATTTAAGTTTTTTCCCCCCAAAGGCTCTGAATTGGATAAAGACCATATACTTAAATTAGCCCAATGCCCTTCTGTACCCAAGGTTTATACTTTTCTGTTCTATTTCACATTCTCTTCCAAATTATATATGTCAGCATTATCCAAGATTCCCTATCAGACATTCCGGAATAAAATTCAATAACAACATAAAGGTACTACAATAGTAAATGCATAAATACATACAAATGATAAAATGCCAGCATCAGAGAGGAACCTGAAAATTTAATAAGCACTATCGAGATTCCCATAGGTAAAACAAAGATCTTTTTCAAATTAAGGTAAAAAGATATTTAAATTCAAAGGAATTTGTGTTCTGCTTTTGGTTTGGCTAAATAAGCTCTTACTGGACTCCATTACTGATAACAATTATAAACTCTGAACAAAGGACACACACACAGACACACACACACACAAGCCTCTCTGAAGATTGGGGGGGGAAAAGGCAAAAAGTTTTGGAAAAACAGTTCAGACTTCCAAAAAGGAAATGTCACAGAGAGTTACTTGTTTTTACCACTTGGTACCTGAAGGTAGACCAAATTCAACTCCATTATTTTGACTAAAACTCCAACAAAAATCTTACAGTATTTGCCATCTAAAAAAACAGAGGACAGAGTTCAAGACAACCACAGCTGCTGGAAAATGGTGGTGGAATTCCATAAAGGAGAGAGCCAGAGAGTAGCAATAAAAAATTTGGTGTATAAACTCTGCCCCAAATCCTGGCTGACACCAAAAAAATCCTTGTGTGAAAAACACTGAACCTAAACATAAATTAGAGAACTAAAATGAGATTTGAGCTGCCAGCCAAGAGAAAATTGTCAGTACTAGCCTAGCTAACCTAATTGCCTTCTAAAAAATAACATCAACACTCTTCAGAAAAATATAACTGAATCCAGAGTGCTCACAAGAGAGTCAATATTTAAAGTAACTTAACATATAAAAAACAGAAAAATGTGACCTGTCTCAAGAGAAATGACAACTCCTCCGTGTCTTCCTTATACTGTCTTTTCACAGCTTTTGAATAGTCTAGTCTTTGTGAGCATTTATTTGAGAGATATTGTATGTGCATATATTTATATATTTGTT